AAGAATGCATGTATTAGCTAGCGACATGATGATTCTTATCATCCCAATACTTAACACTGACAAATTGGCAATTAGGAAGTAGCACTTAGGAGTGACTGTGTATATTTCCTCACTACCCCTGTGGCTTTTGGTAGATTTTGAATCCCGGCGATAGCTTCCCCCCGTTGAACTCCATAGTGGGTGGGGGAGTGAGAAAATGAAGATTTCTAATTTGTAGGATTTCTACAGATTTACAAAGAATTAGGTCTCAGATTCCAAAGGGCAAGAATGGGAATTTCAATGGTTTCCGAGCTCCCAAACCAGGTAAGGAGAAAAGTCTGCCTTAATCCATTAAAGAAATCTTACCTGGTAAATATGAAAGTGTATCATATAGTAAATACCTAGTAGTGAAGACCATGGACCATCCTACTCAAATACCCTAATCCAGTGGAACTGTCAGGGAATTCATGTAAAATGGGAAGAACTGCCACATCTAATAGCTTCATGTAACCCAGTTTGTGTATGCCTACAAGAAATTATGACCAGGGAAAATCATCTGATTTCCCTAAGAGGAGCCCATTATGGAACCTTTGATAATGGATCTCATGGAGGAGTAGCAGTGATGTTGTGTCAGGATGTTTCCTTCCAGGCCATCCACCTGCAGACGACACTGCAGGTGTGAGAATAGGCTTGGTACACCCTTACTCTGTTGCATCCATCTACCTTCCTCACATAATCTCAGCACAGATGATTTGGAAGATCTATTTGGGCAGTTGCCTCATCCATTTCTACTCTTGGGATATTTCAATGGTCGGCATCAACTCTGGGGAGACAGTGTGCAACACTTGAGGAAGGGCCTGGGAGTCCTTGTTCTCAAGAGGAGATGCAGTTTTACTGAACAATGACACACCCACACATTTCCAAATTCAAACTGGGACAATCTCCAATACTGACTTGTCAGTTGGTTCACCTGATTCACAGTTGAATTTCACTTGGCAGGTCATGGAAGACTTATATGGAAGCGACCACTTCACAATACTTTTGGACAAGGTGAATGGTATTCCAGCCAATAGAGTGCAGACATGTCGATTTGAACATGCGGATTGAAATATTTTAAAATCAACTGCAGTGTTGCAAGGATCTGTGAATGATTTCCAGTGTGTTCAAGATGCTGTTAATCAGTTCACATCACGAATTCATCTTGCAGCAGAAGCATCCATTCCCAAAAGTAGTGGGCAGTACCATCGACTTCCCTTACCATGGTAGTCTGATGAATGCCAACAGGATGTTAGAGCAAGAAAAGCTGCATTAAGGCAGTTGAAATGACGCCTCTTGATCCAAGGCAAAGCCAGGTGAGTGCTAAAGGAGGCTAGACTAACGTCATGGAGACAGTATGTCTCCTCAATTAACTCTGTGACCCCCTTAGCATGGGTATGGAACAAGGTATGTAAGATTGCTGGAAAGATTACATCCATGTCACCAACAACTCTGAAAGTAGATGGCACAATCCTCACAAATACAAAAGATGTTGCAAATAAGCTAGCTAAATCCATGGCAGAGATCTCCTCTGGAGCATCTTACAATGCCTGATTCTCCACTCTTCGGGCTGAACAGGAACAACACCCAGTGTCATTCTTCAGTAGGAATGCAGCAGAACTTCCATACAGCTTGCCATTTTTGCTCAAGGAGATGGGCTCTGCTTTGCAGCTCTGCCATAAGACTGCCCTAGGAAGTGACGATATTCCATACCAAATATCTCACTTACCAGAGAGCTCCTAAAAGTTCCTGTTGGACCTATTCAATAGGATCTATAGGGAGGGCACAGTGCCATCCATATGGAAAGAGGCCATAATCATTCCTGTCCCTAACCCTGGCAAGGATGCTTCCATACCAGGGAATTACAGGCCAATTTCTCATACCAGCTGCATCTGCAAGCTGGAGAAAATTCAATCATCTATATTGGTACTGGAAGCGCTGTTAAGTGTTGAGTGTCTAGCTTCTTTTCTATGAATTTAGGAGATTGGTAGGGCTGTGTTCCTATATCAACAGTGTTCAGTACTTGCATGGACTCGAAAGTGGATAGAGTTGCTATCAAAAGTCACTGATCTTAACTTTACTGATGATGTCATATTATATAGGTCTTCTGAGGCTCAAGTGTCGGCTTCCTTTGCTTTTGGGGGTCTGACGGAACATTTCCAATTGACATGGGATTTGCAGGGAGGACATCAAACTTACGTGTAGCTTGGTAGTGTAGTGCATGATTCTGGGCTGTCTGACCAGGAAGTCAGTAAATGGATTGGCCTAGCAACAGGTGCCATGAACTCGCTTAGAAAATGATTCAGATATGCCAGAACTTGTGCAGAAGGACCAGGTGTGCATCTTCAAGGCCCTAATACTGCCAGTTTTGTTCTATGGAAGCAAAACTTTGACTTCTGTGCCATGGAGTTTTGTATCTTATGCAAAAAGTCCTTGTACTAGATCATGGAGTATAATCAACAAGGCCCTTATGACTGGAAATTGA